GTTCAGCCTGAAGAAGAGAAGGCTGAGAGGGGGACGTTATAAATGCTTACAAATATCTGAAGGGTGGGTGTCAGGAGGATGGGGCCAAGCTCTTTTCAGTGGTACCCAGCAACAGGACAAGGGACAATGGGCACAAACTGAAGCACAGGAAGTTCCGTCTGAACATGAGGAAGAACGTCTTCCCTCTGAGGGTGACGGAGCACTGGAACAGGCTGCCCAGGGAGGTTGTGGAGTCTCCTTCTCGGGAGATATTCAAGACCCGCCTGGACAAGGTCCTGTGCAGCCTGCTGTAGGTGACCCTGCTTCAGCAGGGGGGTTGGACTAGATGACCCACAGAGGTCTCTTCCAACCCCTACTATTCTGTGATTCTGTGATTCTGTGCCCAGCAACAGGACAAGGGGCAATGGGCACAAACTGAAGCATAAGAAGTTCCAAGTGAACACAGTGAAGAAGTTATTTATTCTGAGGGTGATGGAGCACTGGAACAGGTTGCCCAGATGGGCTGTGGAGTCTCCTTCTCTGGAGATATTCAAGACCCGCCTGGACAAGGTCCTCTACAACCTACTGTAGGTGACCCTGCTTCTGCAGGAGGGTTGGACTAGATGACCCACAGAGGTCCCTTCCAACCACTACCATTCTGTGATTCTGTGCTCCTTTTTCACCCTGTTGGTGGTCACAGCTATTGTATATCCGAGTAAAAAAAAGGAGGCCGCTTCCCTGTGTGACCTTAAATACCCTTCACTTTAGCAGAGCTGATCCCACAGAATCACAGAACGTTCTCTTCTTCAGGCTGAACAAGCCCAGCTCCCTCAGCCTCTCCTCGTAGGAGAGATGCTCCAGTCCCCTCACCATCCTTGTAGCCCTCCGCTGGACTCTCTCCAGTAGCTCTTCATCCTTCTTGAACTGGGGAGCCCAGAACCGGACAGAGTACTCCAGATGAGGCCTCACCAGGGCAGTGTAGAGGGGAAGGAGAACCTCCCTCGTCCTGCTGGCCACACTCTTCTTGATGCACCCCAGGATCCCATTGGCCTTCTTGGCAGCCAGGGCACACTGCTGGCTCATAGTTAACCTGTCGTCCACCAGGACACCCAGGTCCCTCTCCGCAGAGCTGCTCTCCAGCAGGTCCGCCCCAAGCCTGTACTGATGCATGGGGTTGTTCCTCCCCAGGTGCAGGACCCTGCATTTGCCTTTGTTGAACCTCATCAGGTTCCTCTCTGCCCAACTTTCCAGCCTGTCCAGGTCACGCTGAATGAATCCCCCTCAAACTCAAAACACTTTTCTGAGCCTCTGATGATGTAAAGGCAGAAAGGTGTTACGATCCACCAAAACCTTTACTTTTACAAGGCCTAGATGCTATTTCAGGAAAGCCTTCTGGAATTAGATCCCATTTATTCTGCACTTTCTCATAAAATGCTTTTGCATCATCAGAGGCTCAGAAACAGAGGCAGAAAGGTGCTAGGATCCACCAAGCCCCTTGCTTTTACAACGCCTAGGCGCTTTTCCAGAAAAGCTTTCTTGAATTAGATCCCACTTCTTCTCCATTTCTGATCAAATGTTAGCTAACGCCACTGCAAGCAGCCGCCCGTGCTGTAGTATCGGGGCGACTACTTCCCTTTGCCAAAAAACTTAAAGCCGATGCTATTTTTTAAACTCTTGTGGCAACAAAGCAGCATCGGGGCTTGGGCTCCCCATCCGCCAGCCGCAGGGGTACGCCGTACAGCGGCCTGGCCCCTGGTCCCTGGGCCCACAGGCTCCTGCCTTGCTCGTACCCATCTGAGCACGGACCCCAGGCGTCTCCCACGCAGCACGGCGCTTCGCCTCTCGCTCCGCTGGCAGAGCTGGCCGCTGGGCTCTGCGAGGAGATTCTCCAGGAGCCACAAAGAGGACACTGCACTCTGTGAGGAGACCACCAGGCTCCGTGAGAAGACATCTGGACTCTGTGGGGAGACCTCCAGATGCTGCGAGGAGACCTCCGGACCCTGTGAGAAGATCACCGGGCTCCGTGAGGAGACCATCGGGCTCCACAAGACCTCCAGACGCTGTGAGGAGACCTCCAAGCCAACCCGACCTTCA